TGATCAGGGCAGTGAATGTACAAGTGTGCTTTACACAATTGATGTATGCATGGATTGTGATAAGTTGTATGAGCCCCCAATAAAATGATTTAAAAAAAATAGTCAACATTCAAATATTTCAGGAGACAGCATATGATCAATAATTGATGATATGGAAGAAGTTCAAGCTGCACTGAAGGCACTGGGGAAAAGCAAGCTTTCAGGAACTGACAGAATACAAATTAGATGTCTCCCCCGAAATGGATGTAATACTGGCAGTACTTACTCATCTATGCCAAGGAATTTGGAAGACAGCTACCTGGCCTATTGCTTCAAGCTTTGTTCCCATCCCAAAGAAAAGGGGTACAGCAGAGTGCAAAAATTACTGAATGTTATCATTAACGTCACATGCAACTAAAACATTGTAGAAGATAAATTAAAAGTGGTTGCAGCAGTACATTGCTGAGGTCAGATGGATCTTGGCTGAAAGTGGAGATTACCAGAAGGACGTCTACCTATGTTTCACTGACTATGCAATGGTTTTGTGGATCACAGCAAGCTATGGATAACACTGAGAAGAATGGGAATTCCAGAACCCTTTTTTGTGTTCATGCAAAGGGAGTCCTTCAAAGGGAACATGGTTTAAAACCAGGAAGCATTTACAATGGGTCAGTACTGTAGCCTTTCAGCTTACTTATTCAATCTGCATTCTGAGACATCATCGGAGAGACTGAAGAACGTGAATCCAGAGGAGAAGACGACTCTCAACAACCTTTGATACGCAGATGACGTAACTTGCTGGGTGAAAGTGAAGAGGACTTGAGGCACTTACGGATGGACATCAATGGTGATAGCCTTTCAGGTGCTTCTTTCTAGGCTGCCGTAGTCTGGAAGCTCTACTGAAACCTCCCCAACAAGGGTAATTCTGCTGGTATTTGAAATACCAGTCTCATAGCTTCCAGCAGCACCGTGACATGCAAGCCACCACAGCCACCAGCAAGCTCACTGCTGTTGAGTTGATTCCAAACCTTAATGAACCTATAAGGCACAGTAGAACTTCTCCTTAGGACTTTTGAGGCTTTACTGGAGCAGACAACTGCGTCCTTTCCTGAGGTTCATAGCCTAGTGCTGAACCCCCGGCACCACCAAACCTACCACATAATGTAACCCAAACCCACTGCCATTGAGTCGATCCCGACTCATAGTGAATATCATAGACTCAGTGCCATCGAGTCCACGCTGAATCAGAGTGACCCGCTCCTAGTGACTACCCCTGTGAGTTTCTGAGACTGTCAGTCTTTCTCCTGAGTAGCTGGTGGGAGTTTTGAACTGTCGACCTGTGGGGATCGCAGCCTAACGTGTATCCACTACACCATGTTGAAAATGCAGGTTTTAGAGTCAGATAACCTGAGTTGTTCTCTCTAGATGCTGCTGCTACTTTCCAGCGGGGATACCTTGAACAAGTTTCTTTAACCTTCTGAACCTCTGTTTCTTCTTCTTTATGATGAAGATGAATAGGTCATACTCAGTAGGCACGTGAGGTTTAGGTGAGCTAATACAGGGCAAGTGCTTATTAAGTGCTCAAATAATAGTAATTGCTATTAATATTAACTTTAAAGATGCTTTCACCAACTAAGTTAGGGTTTATTCTTAAGCTAATGGATCATTAGCAAATTCCTTAGTCTATTGTATATAGCAATTATACTTCTATTATTAGTGACGATTATAACTTACTACCTAGATCTCTTTTATTTTAAAAGGACCTGTGCCCCGCAAGTCTGTCCTTTAGGAAAATGATTGACAAGCGGTAAAGACATGAAAACGAAAAATAGCTAAGCAATGTGCAATTAATTGACTGAAGTTCATACCAAAGAGAGCAAGACCTTTTTTCTTTGTTTCCAGTTACAAGGAATGTTCTGCATTGACTGTTGAGTGTCAGCATAGCCATAGTAACTAATATGAATAATATGTTTACTCTTTTAGAGCGCCTCCTTAGATGGTTATTCAAAAATCTAAGCCTTACTTATTAGATGCTCAACCACGAGGAAGTATCTGATGAGGAAGTAGCCTGCGTGTGAGTGTGAGTCAAAAAGTATTACTGCAAAATCACAAAGCCCTTTATTAAATAAAAATAGCACACTGCGAAGCTATTGTCTCTTGAGCCCTCCGCCATCTAGCTCTCTATACTTCTGGGGATATTATTCCCGCCTCTCCAACCCTTCCCGGAAGAACCGGCGCTCTTCTATGTACTCCACCTCCACGTGGCAGTTTGGGCATCCTGAGGGACTCAGATGGGGTTGAGTTTGGGGAAGCAAGTGCAGAAGGGCAAGGTCAGGGTTGTGGAATGTAGAGGGTGAGGCTTCCCAACAAAAGTCTCAGGGGACAGCCCTTGTCACCTCAAAGACTGCGTAAGTGCTCGTCATGGCAGAAAACAATTACCAAGCACATTCTTTCCTGGCCTGTTTTCCACTCACCAATGTAGTGTTTTACTTTTCTTAAAACGTCTTTTATAATAAGCGTCCATGATCATCCTAGATCCTTTGAAAAAAAATCTATCGATTGCCCTTAGAGATAAAAAAAAAAAAGTCGCTATGACCTTCTGAACTGACCTCTTTCCCTTGAATGGATTGGGCCGGAAGATCCCCTCAGACCACTACTGTGATTGGACTTCGCTCTCCGAGGCACGTTGGCAAATGCAAGACCCATCCCTGATGCTTATTCATCCCTTAGAGTCACCTTGCTTAGTTTTGATCTGGCTGCAATGACCAATAGAAAGATGGTTTCTTTGAGCTAGCTGGTCTTCGTGCAACACGTGTTGATAAAGACCCTGGTTTGTTTAAAGGCGCCCTGATGAGACTGAGACATATGTGTTAGTGGGAGAGCTTGTCTGCAGCCACACGCTGGTCACAGAGACGTGTGTGGACGCGCTGTTGTCAGAAATAAAACCATGCATCTCTCCTCTTTCCCTGGCGGCCTTCTTCCCTGGACTCTCCAGGCTCTATCACCTCTCCATCCCACGTTGCTGTAGGCCAAGGAGCAGTGATAGCAAACTCCCGGTTTCTCTCACCCCAACCATGCCTTTACAATTAATCTTTTTTTAAACTAACCCCCACACACAAATTACCCTGATGAGTGAACCTTCTCCTCCCTGTTAGGAAGCAGCAGGCTCTGGTGCTTGTGGGGACCTTCAGTGGATGTTGAGCTGGACACTGGGGTTCAGGTGCTTAAAAAAGAGCACGTGTGGTGTAGGTAACAATTAGGGAGCTCTGATGCCTGACAGCTTGGGGGAATAAATAGCAGCCTTTGAAATTGTTCTGTGCTTAGTAGAGGACTTCTCCCACTGATCGCTTAGAAGATCGTATTTGAGACTGGCCGTCTGTTGTTGAGCGTCTTGTCACGGTTATGTGTCTGACTTAGCCTGGGATGTACCAGAAGAGGAAGAACTCAGGATCAAACATCGCTGCGTGCAGGATGCAGGCTTTAAGGACTAGCTTTGCCAACTGGAAACGTGTTAGGGAGATGTGTTGGTGTCTGCTCCGTGTTTGTGTCATGCCTCTGTGTTGCACTGTTTTCCTGCAGGTGATCATAAACAGCACAATCACCCCGAATATGACGTTCACCAAAACATCACAGAAGTTTGGGCAGTGGGCAGACAGCAGAGCCAACACGGTGTTTGGTCTGGGATTCTCCTCTGAGCAGCAGCTGACAAAGGTAACTTGGTGCTCCCCCCATCCCCACCCGGGAGAACAGCACCCGCAGAGGGTGCAGCCCTGTCCCCTCGCTGCCGGGCCAGGGCTGGGGTCGAGCTGTGGGGTGAGCAGGCTTCCTTCTGGCTGTAGCCCGTCTCGGCCAGTCACCAGCGGGGGTGATGCTTGAGCGGCAGCTCTTGCAGAGAGGCTGAGGGGGCTTTCAGCGTGGAGTCCTCAGAGCCTTAACACTGACACAGTGGGGTCAGGGTCGGGGTGGGGGGGTTGTTTTTCTCTTAGGAAGTGCATAGCTTTGATTCGATTCTCAGCGTGGGCCCGGCTATGCTTGTGGATGGCTAGAAAGGGATGGGGAGCAGGTCATGGGTGCTCACAGCCATGGAGAACCCCCAAACTGAGGGAGTAAGCTGATCCCCTCAGGGAGACCTCACCCAGCGGACGGGTTTGAAAAGCAGAACGCTGGCTTGGAGATGAGAGCCTTCTGACTCAGGTGGTAGGAGAACCCCTGTAGTGTGAAGACTGTTTGGGTTGTCAGTAAGACTAACTGTCTTATGAAACATAGGAATGAATTGGAAGCATTTCAAAGTGTCTCAAGGAATCCAGTGGCGAATCGGACATCCAGGCCTGGGGGCGGGCCGGAACCACATGGCCCCAGAAACGTTGGCTGCTGCAGCGGCTCATCTCTAGACCAGGGCCATGGATGTCTGGCCGGCGGGCTCGTGCTAGCCGAGCCCCTCCGTGACGGGATTATCTTGGGCACGGAGGGTACAGTCATGGGGGTTGTTCCTAGGTGGTTTCACAAATCCGATATTTTTCAGGAATTGAATATGAGGGGATCAGCCCAGTACAGACGGGCTGCCTGGATTCCTGTGTCTACCAAGGGCAGTTGTCAAAGAAGAGCAAGATGAGTCAGGAATCCACTCTTGGAGGGATCCACTCATTGACATCTCTTGCTTGCCCCGAGTATATACATGTGTGTACATACACACACACACACACACACACACACACACACACCTCTAAGGAGGAGACCCGGCTCACAGATCCAGTCATCTGACACACAACTGCCCTAATTAAGGACACTGCACAGATTACCCATCCTCCGTGTCTCTTGGCGTTTCCAAGTAAGAGCTTGCTCCTTAAGCAGCCTGAGAAACCCAACCCAGGCTGGTGGTAGTCTCAGCCTCATCTCTCATACCATTTCCTAGGTATGGAAACCTGGTGGGAGGAAGAAGGGGCTTCCCTTCAAGAATTAGTCTTGGAAACCCACTGGGGCAGTTCTGCCCTGTCCTACAGGGTCCCTGTGAGTCAGCATCGACTCGCTGGCAGTGAGTTTGGGTTTTTGGTTTGGAGCATTTGTCACAAGTCCAGGACAGCACAGGCGTGCATCTGCATTGTCGGGGGATCGATAACTAAGAACAAAGAAATCCCCAGCTCACACCAAGCGATGGCCTTTCCTTTCGGTGCCAAGGATGCCTTTGATGAAGATTATTGTCATAACTTTTGGAAATACAGACAATAACCTTTGCTGGCAATTGAGTGAGTGAGGAAACCTGGTGGTGCATTGGGTTAAGCATTGGACTGCAACCACAACCTCCGTGGTTCAGAGCTGCCAGGCATCCCACGAGAGACGTTTGAGGCTGTCTGCTCCCATAAAGAATTACATTCTCTGAAACCCCTATGGAGCAGTCTGCTCCGTCCTATAGAGCTGCTCGGGTCAGAATCAACTCTACCGCAGTGAGCGTGATTGGGATTTAACGCCTCCAGGTCTCCAACGTTCAGCAGCACGGAGCAAGAAGCAAAACTCTTGAGGGTCAATCATGATATATCGTTCTGGGAGATGTCACCTCCAGCCCTGATCTCCCAGTTTGCAGACCGACAGACTGACTATGAGACAGGAAGTGCCGTTCCACAGCTTTGGAAGACACGATGTCCCAGCAGACAGCAGGCCCGAGTTCTGTAAGAGCCTGCTGCTTCTGACTGATGGGCTATACTGACAGACTCCGATCTGAGACTATACTGACCTGAGATGCCAATGAGGATTCGATCCTGGCTCTGGGCCCCTTGCAGGGGCCGTGCTGTGTGGTAGAAGTAAATTTATGGATGGTGGGGCCAGGAGAAGTGCAATAGACGGAGACGATAGAAAGATTCACAGTCAGTGTCTGTCCTCAAAACCCCACTCACTGCCAGTGAGTTGATTCTCATCAAAAGGGACTCCTACAGGACAGAGCAGAGCTGTCCCTGTGGGTTTCCGAGACCGCTGCGACTTTGTACGGAGTAGAAAGGCTTGTCTCTCCCCCATGGAGCGGCTGGCCCAACTCATAACCACTGCGCCACCACGTCTCTTCGTGTCTGTCCTAGGGAGGAAAAAACACTTTTGTTTTTTCTGCAAGAAGGTACCCAGTGTCATCGGCTTTCCACCAAGGACCTGGCTGGTCACTTAGAGTCATAATGGAGTATTGGGTGCCCAGGGTGGGACCCTCTTGTTGCCGTTAGGTGCTCGGCAGGAGCAGGAGTGGGGGTGGCTGTGGAGAGGAGGAATGTGTGTTTTGAAGCCTGCGTGCTGCCTCTCCCCTTCCGACGATGCCTCCTGTGTTAATGAGCCTTTTGAGCAAACACTGGTCTGCTTGGAGGAGGAGGATGGCTGGTCTCCGGGTCACAGCCCTTCTGTCCACGTGGTTTTAGGGTTATTCTTTTTGCTGCATCCACATGGCATGCTCTGGTGCTGGCTCTCTTTGGGCCCACGGATGCGGTCATTGTTCAAATCCACTTACCACCAGCCCTCCGAGTGGCTTCCTCCTAGGGCCTCCACCGTTAGCCACTGTCGATCCGACTGCGCACACTGCAGGGTGAGATGGCTCACCCCCAGGATCTTTCTTCTCCGTTATCCTCTAGACAAAAGGAGTGGTTAGCATGAGCAAGCTTGGGAAAGTGTGGTGGGGGCGGGGCAGGGGGGCTGGACATGGTCAGCCGTGCCAGGCTCTGGGAAAGTAAGAGGTCTTAGGTCAGGCCAGGTGTCACCTCATAACCTGTGAAACATTTTAAGTAAGGTGACCAGACATCCCGCTTTTGGCGGGACAGTCCCGATTTTTAACAGTTTTTCCCTGCATCTCACAGTGTTTTAAAAAAGTCCCGATTTTTGGAAAGAATGTGCCACAAGCTAGGGTATACAGTTTTCGGCTGCCATGTGGCTATTTCGCCAGGATATGAGTTTTATCAATGGTGTCCCGCTTTACCAGTGTTAAAATCTGGTCACCTTAATTTTAAGCCATGATGGAAAGTGACCAGATTTACCTTTCCACTTGATTTTTCTGGTAGCAAGAAAGATGGTATATTTGACTCAATCCAGGCTAGAGATGGTGAGGGCTGGAGGAAGAGTTGGAGCGCTTTTAAAATACATCTACCGGCAGAGCTCAGTGAGGGGTGTGGGAAGCAGGAGCCTCCAGGGCGATGGTGGGTGATGGTTGGGGCCACTTTCAAAAATGGGGAAGAGGAATGGGTGGGGTGAGCTTAGAGCATGGACATGAAGTAGAGGGAAGTATGCTGGTGATTTTTGGAAAGAATGGGGATAAATGGAACCTCAGGCCTTTTCCCTCCTGCAGAAGTACCTGCTGGGGGCGTGGGGGAGGTGGTAGTCGGGAGACTCCCTCCCCCTGCCAAGTGGCTCTTCCTTCAATCCCCTCATCTCCGCACTCAGAGCACTGGAGCCCTCAGACCCCTGGGAAGGAAGAGATGGAGATGCGAGGCAGGATCCCCCACTCAGGTCCTGAGCGCCTGAGCCTGCTACAGCCGGCACAGTTTGAGAGACTCTCACAACTGCCCGAGACAAGGGGTTCCGTCTCTGGAGGTCTCGAGTAAGTACGGAAGAGGAAGGAAAACTTTCCATGAAAAGCATCAAACACAGAAACAAAAGCAAGGAACGTTCAAGTTCAGTTCTGCCTGAGAATGGCCGAGACCTTGAGGCGGACCTGCTTCCGAGCACGGCCCTTCTGCTTTTTCCAGGCAGAAGAAAACGTCCTCTCATTAAAAGAGGAGTGTCCTGTCGCCCTGAGTCACTTGGTGCTGAAGCGCCCGTCCGAACGTCAGTCCTGTGCCTGTAACCTGCCTTTTGTCACAGAGACTTCTCAAACAAGCCCTCAGATGTCTCCTTTGTTCGAAATGTTTCCAGTCAACTTTTTCTCTTCTTTTTGAAGGGAGCAATTAACCACACTGTGATAAATTACCGTCAAGTGAGGCTGGCAGTCTGGACAAGTGGCAATTAGCTGGCAGAGAGGAACTTGGGCTCGAGGGTTCCCCAGGAGTGTTCTGAGGGAGCAGCTGCCGCTAAATGTTCCTGGAGGCCCAGAGCAGCCACCCACAGACTGGTGAGGGGAACTGGTAATCAAACGCTCTAGCTAGGCTAGAAAGGGGCGCACTCTTGTGGACACTTTTCATTGGAGAACTCTTTATACCGCACTTCTCTTTTGGCCGCAGCCCCCCCAGAAAGAAAATACATCCCTTGGGCTAGCTGCTCCCTTTGTAAGGACCACTTCACACCACAGCTCCTTGGCTAGACTTTGGGAAAGCAGCAGAAACTGTGCATCCCCAGAAGTGAACCAGGGCTGATCTGTGCACACAGGAGGCAGGAGATCTGCCTCGGCCTCCTGGAGACGCTGGAGGAGAAGCATGCGTGTTCTGGCGAGAGGAAGCACTCAGGACAGACAAAAGAGGGAGCCCCAAGTATAAGAAGGGGCCAGTTGTTAGCATTTAGCTCTTCTCTGGCATTGCAGAACTAAAATCCCTGGAGCTGTCACTACTTTAAGTTTGGCTGCGTCTGATTCCTCACTCGCTGGAGGAAGCATTCTGCCGTGAAGAGAGAGCCATTCAGGATGGCCTTCCTGGCAGGAAACTCCATGATTCCTTGGCAGGGAGACGTCCAAATCCTGACCCAAATGCTTTCAACCCAGCTCACTTATTTCTGCAGTAGTTCGCAGCCACCCTTTCTGTTTGCTTCATTAGCTTACTGTA